ACTTTTGAATAAGAGGTAATAGATATATAACTTCACATCATAAATAAAACGTCAAAGTATTATTTTAATTTATGTTAAAAATATAGCATCCATAAATTTATTTCTCTAATAAAATTTTGAAGAAAGAAATCAAATCAAATCGAAGTCAATAATTAGTGTCGGACCGAAACAAACATATCGTTGTCGTTTTTATTATGATCAGATCATATATAGTGACAGTTATAAGAGAGGGACAACTACATTTTGAACAACAAAGAAGTTTGACCGGAACGGGTGATTGAGATGTAAAGAGATCGATGACAGTAATAATGGTGTAAATACCAATCGAAATTAATAACGAAAACCTGTGATATAATTTGGTACATTTGGAACATGCCAAAACCGACCATACATAATGAAAGAAACATGTTGTAGTAATGTTTGGTTTGGTTTGGTCTGGTCTGGTCTGTGTTCTTGCGGCGGAGCAGTAGCAAGTTATGTCTGACTAGATTTTGTGAAGTCATATAATTTAATGAAACACTTGAATAATTGCATGCCTTTGCCTCTCTCTATATATATATAGGTTATATATGCATATATATCATCCAAAGGGCCCACAATGAAAGCAATATTGATAATAATTACTTCACCTTTTTACTGGTTTGATTGACATTTTCATTATATTTTAAATGTGATGTGTACGTATGGAGTACGATAGAGTCGGTATAGAGATGTCGTCTTTGTCTACTATCTTGTTTTCTATTCTCACAAAATTCGTTATTTATTTTGTTCTCCATATCTTTCACGGTTTCAGAAAACAGTGGTGTTTAGGTGTTGAGAGCGTTTGTTGTCTTTGTAGAGTAAGAATAGGATCTTGGACTGGCTTCCTTCACGTGACCTAGAAATAAAAATCGGTTCGTGCTACTATAAGACCTTTAAACTACTTCCTCAAGATAGGGTATGAGAATTACTATGAGAGGAAAATGGTCGAGTCCTGGGAACTTATTTGGACTGAACCTCTCGCCTATTGGTTGAGCTGCTTCTTTGGGTTCTTCGTAGAGAAAGAGAAAAGGTCGCTTTTGACCTCTCGACCACTCTCCCCTTCTCGTGTATAACCATTACATATACCCAGCTTAAAAAGACATTAAGTAGCTTATGAGTGATTTAGGTAAAGATTTTTTACCACTTTTTTATCAAATTCATAGCCTTCTAAAAGACCTTTGAGCCACCATGCCTCTTTCAGTGCTTCAGTTAAGGCAATAAATTTTGCCCAATGATTAACTATAACAGCCTAAATCCACCACAAGCAAATATTGTTTGTTTTGACTCATTATATATCACCGTCAGTTTCAAGGTTTTAAAACACGTCAATTAGGGAGAGATTTTCACACACTTACAAGGAATGTTTCGTTCCTCTCTCCAATCAATGCGGAAACTCATATTAACAGTGTTACAACGACATTAGAGAGGTCTTCCAGCTGACCAAGTTGTCTATATCTCCACCATAGTCGGAATCAACGTATCAATACAACTAAAGTGTCCATTCAACACCATTTTGATATCCATAAGCCCCACATTTACTAAACCCTTAGAAGCATATGAATTTACTAGATGCATGATGGTTGTGATATCTACGACCCCTTTAAATGAGAAGACGAGAGTCAGTTTTAAAGTGGAACAAGTATATACTACCGTCAATTGACGTTTAAAACATGTCTAAACACACACGAACATATCAAAGTGGAACAAGTGTAACCCTAGGAACAATAATTTAAGGATAATTTCCACTAATTTTAAATGGTGTTTGAAAAATTCAAAGTACATATCACTAAATTTTGGGCCAAAAACACAAAATAAATGAAAAGAAGCAACCTAACAGCAAAGTGCTGTTAAACTACAAAACAATCATACATAATAATCATGTAACTGAAAAGAATAAGTAAATGTTTTATTTATTTATTTATTTATTTATTATTATTATTTTCATTAATTATTTTAAATACTTTTCTAGTGGATTAATCAATAAATTAATTAATATGGTTGACTCATCATTAGTTTGCTAAAGGAGATATTAATTAGGACATAAGCCTAACTAATATAAGTATTTTAAATTCAATATCATTTTATTTTTTAATTATTATTATTATTTAATCATTTTTGAGAAAAATTATATTATTTTAAAGAAAACAAATTAGGTTTATATCAATCCGTGTTACTCTTTTTTAGCTTATCGTTATTCAATTTTGATCTCGAGAATTTCAATGTTTTTGTCTGAACAGAAGAATTTTACTTAAAAAGCTATTCGTTTATTGAACCAAATGTCAAATTTGAAATTGACTTTTAATTCCGTTAAAATTAGCGTTTTTATTATTTTAGGCACCAAAATGTAAATTAATGAAAAAAATTAAGCAAATTCAAAAGTTTAAAAACGAAAACGAAGGTTAAAGAACCAATACAATATAATTTAAAATGTGAATCGAACGAAAGTTCTACGCTGTCGGTTCTTTCATGTATCGGGTGACTTTGAAAAAATAAAAAAAAAACGCTTTATCTTTTGAACCAACAACCGTACCTTCCACCTTCAATAATGTTTTTTTAAGTGTGACACATTTAAATTATTAACTTTATAGAAAATGTTTTACATCACGTTGGGCACACATTAATTTAGTAGTAAGACATAATCATGCTATGATAAACAAATGGCTAAGGGAAATTAACTCTCTTAATCAAGTCCTTAATGACTTGTGTTTGGGTTTAATTTCTATGAATAATGGACTTCGGCTCGTCATTCTAGAAGTTCTTTTTTTACGAACATTCATGATTAACTCACAGATAGATATATGAATGAACCGAAATCAAATGTGAATGAAAATGATACTGAAAATATGATATTATGATTAAAAAATTTATAATTACTACCTATACCAATAAGGTGCATCTTTTTTTCTCGATGACTCGGTTATAAAAACTTTAAAGTTAAGCATGTTTTTCTCGAAACATTTTTGTTGTCTGAGTGTGAGATCTCATATCGGTTGGAGAGGGGAACGAACCATTCATTATAAAGGTATGGAAACCTCTCCCTGGTAGACGTGTTTTAAACCGTGAGGCTGATAACGATACGTAGTGGGTAAAAGTGGATGTTAACAGTGGCCTTGGGCTGTTACAAATATATCAAAGTCAAACACTAGGATGTGTGTCAGCGAGGACGTTGGGCTTCCAATGGGGGTGGATTGTGAGATCTCACATCAATTGGAGAGGGGAACGAAGCATTCCTTATAAGGGTGTAGAAGCCTTTTCCTAATAGACGTATTTTAAAATCGTGAGACTGACAGCGATACGTAACGAGCAAAGTAGACAATATCTCGCCTCTTGTTGAGGGTATATGTCTAAACTAGTTATGTTATGTTCGGGTTGATCCATCGAAAGGAGCCGATAAAGAATTACTATTTAGAAGTACAGTAAGTTTTGACATATTCAAGTAATTATAAAGAAATGGTTTAGGTCACGTGGGAAACATATAGTAGAATGACTTGTGTTAGGGTTTGAATAATTTAATTAAGAGGGTAAGCTAAGTGGGATTATGATATGAATGCGACATGTCGTTCCTTTTTTCTTTCTTTATATTTACTTTTTCAATATGTCTTTTTAAATGTCTCCATTTATACCCACTAAGTATTCATAAAATATTCCCTAATTTCTTTCACCAACAGACAACGTTCTTCTATTTTAATGGCTTTAATTTTGCATGGCTCACCGAACCAAGCCACGCGGATAATTCCGAGTAGTAATCGATGGTTACTATGTATACTAACAAGGGGCACCTTCATTTTTTGTGGCTCATTCATAGGAACGTCAAAGTTAAGCGTGTTTGGCTTAGAGTAATTCTATGTTGGATGATGTGAGATCCCATATTGGTTAGAGAGAAGAACGAACCATTCTTTATAAAAGTGTAGAAATATCTCCCTAGCAGACGCGTTTTAAAACGGTAAGACTGAAGGCGATACAAAACGAGCCAAAGTTGACAATATTTGTTAACAGTGAGCTTGAGCTGTTACAAATGGTATCAAAGACCCCAAGAGGTGGATTGTGAGATTTCACATCGATTAGAGATGAAAACGAAACATTTCTTATAAGGGGTGGAAACCATTCCTAGCAAATACGTTTTTTTATCGAGCTAAAGCAGACAATATTACAAACGACCTATAATTTATAAATATATATATATAATTTAAACTAAAATTTTTATTTTTTTAAATTGAATGAGATTCAAATAAGTTTATAATATAATTCATGTTAGATTGAATTTTCGAGTCTGATTTTTAATATAATGTTGGAAACGACAAACACTCGTGTTGGGGTCATAATGTCGGATTTGAGAAACTAAATTAAATTTAAAAATATATAACAAAGTAGTGGAAGGCCTACTAGGGTTATGATCATTACTTTTATTTTTATTATTATTATTATTATTATTATCATTATTATTATTTAATAGAGTTTATTTCAAATCTTATCCTTTATTCTTTAAATTTTTGCATTAAAAACTATTTTTATTTTTATTATTCAATTTAAATATTCTTATATTTTAAATTTTATTTTATTTTAGTTAAATTATTTTAATTTTAATTTAAGTTAAATCTTATCTTATATATATTATTTTTAAAAATTATAAATTTATTAGATATAAAATTAAATATTAATTTTAGATTAAAATTTAAAAAATCTGATTATAACAACAAAAATATATATATAGATAGATATTATAACCGAACCAAATCAACCTGAATATATTATTAATTTTAAAAAGTTTTTTTTTTTTCTTTTCGTCCCATATATATTATTTAATTATATAATTATTTATTTATTCTAAATCTTTAAAATATAATTTTTCAAATATTTAATTTTTAAATAAAAAATAGATATTTGCATTTTTGTTTCGATAAAAGAAAATTTTTGAATAAACTTCGGAACAAAACTTTGATCTATTATAATTCGGTTACACCAATTATTCAAGAAAATTACTACTTTTGAACTGTATTTCTACGAAAAGCTATCACATTCTTCGTCTCTATACTCTGTAACGTTTCTTTTCTGGCTTTTTTCAGTATCTTGCTTGTTCCTCCTAGGTAGCTTCGTTTATCATTGTGTGCAGATGAAACTTGACAAAATTTTGTGTGTACTTTTGACTTCTTCAAAACCTTACTCGATGGCGATATCTCACATATCTTTACTTGACGACTTTGTTTTCGAGCTTTTTCGTTTTGGCAGTTTTGTATATATCGTTTCTCAATTTCTACTGCCTTCTCTTCTAATTCCTTTATCTTCAGCTCGTACATTTGCTTCCATTTGAACGATTCCTTATGCTTCATCATCTCAAGAACACCGTTGACAGCATCTTTACCAAACTTTCTTTCGTAGAAAGTTTTCCATAATTTGTTTGTTACTGGAGTGAGGTCTCTTCCTTTCGAAGAGTTCTCTATACGCATCAGTTGCTCGACGGTGCAATGCGGCAAAATATGTTCAAGGAAATTTAGATCTGTTTGGCCAACATCTCCAAGAAATCTCAGGCTATCTATGGCTTTGTTTACTTGTTGAGACATTGTTTGGCAGACTCGAGAGGGCACAGGTTTAGCACTCGTTTAAGTTTGAAGTAGATAGTTACAATGCATATCGTCTTCCTTTTATAGTTATATTCTATTTTGCCGTTAGAATTTCAAATTTTATTTTAAAATATCGTAATCTTTTATCTTAAAATATTTATATATTTAAATCTATCTAAATCTCAATTCTTACTATATTTAAATTATTTTTAAAATATTTAAATATATTCATTCTTACCTTATTTAAATTATTTTTAAAATATTTATTCATACAATATTTAAATATCTAAACTGTAAGGCTTAGATTAGGTTGGATTAGCATTTTGGATAGGGTTTGATTCATTTTTTTAAACGAACCCGGTTTGATTTCAAGTTTGTAGTTGACCTAAGCCAAATAAAAATATACCGTAGAGTAGTATTTTAGTCAATCTAAATAGACTCACGCTCGTTTATTTATTAACTTTTAATATATTTCATTTTTGTATCGAAATAATTATAAAAGGTAGATAAATAAAACTTAAAAAAAATTGACAACCCAACCTGAAAAGAAAGGATTGGGTTGGGTTACCAATCCAATCAACGAATTTTTGGGTTGGGTCAAAAAAATAGTTCAACCTAACCCAACCGGGACCATGTACACCCCTACTCACTTGTCATTCCATACTAATCTAAAAAATTTCATCTTTATTTCATTTTGATTATATTTTAACATTTGTTTTATTTTCCAAATTTCGTACTAAAAAATATTTTTGTCGGTGTAGAAATAATATAATTACCATCGAACATTAATTATTTAAAAAAATTCTATTTATCCACGGTACATATAACATTAATAACTAAAATCTCATAAAATTCAAATATCAATCATTTACAAGTCACAACGTATTTACTAACATTAATTACGAACATCAAATATTCTTAATTTTCATAATAGTCTTAAAAGTAGGGCAGGATAGGGTTGGTTTGCAACTCAACCCGACCAAAAAAATATAACCCCTTTCAATTTTTTTGAGATATGGTGTCGGTTCATTCAGGTATCTTCTCGATATCTTATAATAAAAATATCTCAATACTCATCATACAATGTTGAAATGAATTGAAGAGTCCAAGCCCAAATAATAATGGGCTAAAGGCTTCAATTTGGACATTGGGGATAACCAAACCTTCAATGACAACTTTATCCTAAGTTTTTAGAATTTTGTATCAATAAATTTTAACGAAGTAACCCGACCATTGTTCGAGACTAGATTGTTACTAGAAATGTCTATAGAGTAGGACGGAGAAGCTTTCTCCGCTTCCATTCCTACCAATTATTTCATTTTTCATCTTCGCGAAATTCTCCATTTATTTTTGTCGGAATCGGAGCGGGAATAGGATTCCCCACAGGTAATTTTTTACCGTTAATTATTCCTTTAAAAAAAATTCTTTTTTTAATATAATCTTTATTTAAAAGTTTAAAAAACCCTAATAATCAATATATTTCGTAAGAAAAAATATATATAATGTTCTGCCAATATAATTTCTAAAAATTCAAATTTTAATATTACACCATAATCATAGACCAACAACAAGTCATTCCGGCATGTTTTATTCTCACTCACATGCTTCACAGAATTGTTCCAGGTAAATTACGCTTAACCATGGAGTAAAAAACGGATACATGAATGAACCGAGACCACGTACGAATGAGGATGACTAAGAAAAACTTATAAGAATTGAAACAAAGCATGCTGAAAGGATTCGAGTTAGTCTTCAATCTTAAAAACGAGTAATAGATAACGTGTCTATGTTATAAGAGATGTAATGAAAATTTAACGTGTCGATGTCACAGTAGTTAACGTGTCCAAAAAAAATTAAAAAAACATAATTTTAAAAATAAAAATATAAAAAAGAGAATTATAATAATGTAATAAAATAATAATAATTGTTTTTTTTTTTTTTAATAGTTGTCTTAAATGGCGTGCGGTCGACCAAAGCAGCCAACTTGTTTGTTAGATTTTATATAATTAATTCATATCCATATACAAATCCAAAGGACATTGTCCGTACAGTCCCATACTTTTATCTCATTTCCCAAAATACCCCTCTTATTTTATTCCTTTTATCAATTTTTTTTTATTTATAAAAAATATGTATTTATTTATCCATTTATTCAAATTATTTGTTACAATTAAGCCTTAAAAATTTTTGTTTAATAAAATTATCATTCTATTATTTTAAAATTTCTTAATCGATAAAATATCAGATGTGACACCCGAGTAAATGAGAGATACATAAATGAATTTAACAAGAACATTTAGAGGGACCCAGATATATTAGAATGTGTCGGGTAAGTTCTTGCTTGTTACGTATGTGTTGGGTAAGCTTGTAACAACTCATGCCTAAGATTCCGAATATTCACCGCTTCTTAAGGAAGAAAATTGTCTTCACAGACCAAACACAATTTCTTCCAACATGTTTTGTTCTCATTCACATACACCTAGAAAAGCTTCTAGAAGGTCACCGACATAAAATTGCTCAAAGTAAAACACGTTTAACCAAGAAGTTCATTATTTATTATTGTTTTACTCGAACGTCCCGATAAGATTGAATTTCAAATTTATAAGTAATTCAAAAAGTTAACGAGTGAATGCTGACAATCATAATATAAAAATCGATAAACTTTGGCAAGTTGCATAAAAGTTATATGCGATCCAAATGAAAAAATATTAGCGACCTATCTTCTCTTAATTAATATTTAATTTCATTTTAATTATTGAAAAAATAAATAATAATAATCATAATGCAAGCAAACAAATAAATATATGAAATTGCCAGAATTATGGCTCTTTTTTTAAATTGACCTCATTAATAAGTCAAACATTTTTACTTTATTATCCATTTTAATTTTATCGTTTTTAGAGAAAATAGCAGGGACCAAGGTAAATAATTAATTATTTATTTATTAAATTTTTTTGCATAAATTAATATTTTATTTTCTTTTTTGACAAGTGGGAATTAAAAAAATTAAAATAAAAAACGAATCAAAATTAACCCTCTTTTTTAATCTTTTTTGTTATTTTTTTATTTTTAATAAAATGGGAAATTCATCCTCTTTTTCCCCCTCGGGCCTTTCAGTATCGTAGAAACTAAGCTTTTTGATGCGTAAGTGTAGCACTGAATAGGGTTTTTATTTTTACTGCTTCGAGTTTTGATCTATTTGACCTAAATTAATTATAAGGTGACATCGAGACCAATAGAATAAATTACAAATATGAAGATTAAGTACGTAAAAAGAAAGACCGACCTAAATATCGGTGAACAGGTTAGAATGGTAAGGTGATGTGAAGGTTAAGTAATGTTATCAAAGCCCTTAATATTTAATATTTATTTAATTCAATTGATTTTATGCCTATAAAGTGATATGTTATTGCAGTTTTTCGATTTGCTTTTTTCCCCAAATCTGTCTCTCTCTCTCTTTTTCTCTTCCGATTTCATTTTCTTCGATCAAATCAAAAACAGATCCAAATCCGAATGCGCCATATGTACCAATCAAATTCCTCCTCCTCTTCCTCTCAGAAATTCATGGCCTCAGCCAACGCCGGCGTCGGTAGCGGCGGCGGCGGTGGCGGTGGTGGTCTCACTCGGTACGGTTCCGCGCCTGGATCTCTTCTGACTTCGGCAGTGGATTCCGTGATTGGAAGTCGGCATCCGGACTCTGTTTCCTCGCTCCGTACACCGCCGTCGTTCAGTGGCCACTACTTCTCCTCCGCCGACTCCTCCCTGAAATCGTCGTCATCCACTGCCGCTGCCGTGAGGTCGTACGGAATCCATGATTTAGCCCTAGGCGACTTCTCGACGGCTAGAAATTTCAATAGCAATGGTGGTCAATCCTCTTCCTCTTCGCCGTTAGTTCGCCAGAAAAGCTCGCCGGCTGGATTCCTCGGCCATCTCTCCGTCGCCGAACGAAACGGTACACACACTCTCTCTCTCTCTCTCTCTAATTTTGTTCCCGTCTTCACCGGCGCGTGGTTTTCACCGCGTTTCTTCTCAACCGTTGACTATATTCTTCCCCTAGTTCACGAAAATATACCCCTCAACTTTTCAAAATGACCAAATTAGCCTCTCTGCTCTTAAACCGTATCCCACACGGACTTTTAAATTGAGTTTAATACGTCCTAAATATTTTTAATTAAGTCGACTATATTTCAAATTTATTGGTATTTATAATTATTTTTGTATATATTTTTAATTAAAAAGTATTATTTTCTTTAAATCCAGGTCATAAGTCACGTGCAAGATGCTGTGAGCATCGCAATTGCATGATGATGTCAATTTGGGTTTAATTTATTATTTATTATTTTATTTTCCGATCCTTAGATGGCTGAAAGCCGACATGTAGTTTCGGCGCCCATTGTAGTTTAAGTAGTGCCGTTGTTTTCGAGCATTTTTTTAATAATAGTGGAAATGTAATCCATTATTGATTTAATTGGGCAATGATTCACTACGGATGATTCTAGGAAGCTTTTAAAACTATGGTACATATGGTACAAAATTTGGTCATAGTCAAATCGGGTTAGAACGAACACGACTCTCCACAATGGTATGATATTGTCCACTTCGACCATAAAACTTTGGTACAAAATTTAGTCATAGTCAAATCGGGTTAGAACGAACACGACTCTCCACAATGGTATGATATTGTCCCCCATAAAACTCTCATGGCTTTGCTTTGTGCTTCCCAAAAGGCCTCATCCCAATGGAGTTAGTATTCCTCACTTATAAACCCATGATCATTCCCTAAATTAGCTGATGTGGGACTTTAATCATCCAACACAAATAATATTTAGTTTTCTTCCTTAATCGATGTGAGATCTCACAATTCACCCATCGTCGGGTCCAACGTCTTTATTGACACTTGTTCTTCTCTCTAATCCATGTGGGGTTTCACAATCCACCTTCTTTTGAATCCGAGCGTCTTCACTGGAATCCCCCTCTCCCCCGTCCTCGGTGTTTGGCTCTGATACTATTTGTTAGAGCTCAAACTCACCGTTAATCTTGGGTGGTTCTTATAAGGTTAGGTTGAAATTAAGAAAGATTATTATAAAATGTGTGGTGGAAAAAACAGGAGGAGGGTTTTCATTGACAATGGGAGGTGGTGGGAATAGCATAGGAAGACTGAAGTCCCAAGTGAGGTTGAACGGCCAAGATTCACTTTCTCAAATCTCTGAAATGAGTGAAGGCTTTATGGAGGCAGCCAATTCCTCTGCCAATGGCCTTACCCCCTCTACCTTTGGCATGGACTCTTGTTGGGACACTTCCAATAACTCCATTGTCTTTGGTGCCCCTCATGCTAAAACTTCCCGGCACCATCCCGACGCGGAGTTCTTCACCACCCTCGAGTCCCAGGTACACTTAAATTTGATTATCGTTTATCCATTCATTTAACTTGTTGATGGCTGGCCTTATTTGCGTAACTTTCAGTTTAGCATGCCGCAGACAACTCTAGAAATGGCAACTGTGGAGAGGCTGCTTCAAATCCCTGAACACTCTGCTCCTTGTAAGATTCGAGCCAAGCGTGGTTGTGCCACTCATCCTCGTAGTATCGCCGAACGGGTCAGTCTAAATTTTATGTGCATTGCATGTGTTATGAACTTTGCATGAATTCCTCGACTTAATTATAGTGCTTCTACAGGAGAGGAGAACGAGAATTAGTGGAAAGTTGAAGAAACTTCAAGACCTTGTTCCGAACATGGATAAGGTAAAATTCAAAACCTCGAAATTTTAGCTTTTCTTTTACTATCCACCTAATAAAAAAATTCTTAGGTATTTTAGAATCGAGACCACGTCTTAATGAGGACGTTTTAAGAATGGAAATGATCCTGGGAATATTATAGTTGAGAAATATTTAAGAAAATTGAAAGTTACTACTTATACGAATAAGGTGTTCGTTAAAAAAATTAAAGGTTACTTATGACACTGGAGTAAAAGAGGAGTACATGAATGAACTGAGACCACATTTGAATGAAAAAGATCTATGAGATAGGATAGCTAAGAAATGCTTAGAAGTGGGGAATAAGTAACGCGACTATATCGTAAGTGATTGTGGAGAATGTCATGTCATATAGGTGCGGAATCTGGATTTCAAATCCTCATCTAAATCTTGGACATGGGTTCAAGATGTATTTCTTGTTTGGTGACTCAATTGTAAGAATTTCAAAATTAACGTGTTTAGCATGAAACAATTTTATGTTGGATGAACCCGTTTGAGTTTAGTAAGAAAACATGTGAGTGAAACAAAATTTTATCCATTATATATGATTGTTTTGTCGTATTATTGTAGCAAACAAGCTACTCAGACATGTTAGACTTAGCCGTGCAACATATCAAAGGTCTTCAACATCAAATTCAGGTTCGCTCTAAACGTTAATCTTATACCAATTAATTAAAAGATTAAATTTGTCATAACCTCAAAATTCAACACAAAATCTTGCTATGGTAAGTTATTATCCATAACAATAAGGTGCATGTTCATTTTTTGTGGTTCAGTCATAGGAACTTCATAGTTAAGTGTGTTTTGTTTGAAGCAATTCTATGTTAGGTGACCTCTTAGAAATTTTCCTAGTAATTTTCCTAGTATGCATGAGTGAGGACAAAACATATTGGAATGACTCGTGTTGGTTTGTGAGGATAGTTTTTACTCTTAAAAGCAAGGAGTAAGTAACGTGACCACGTTGCATGGGAATGTCGGGGTCATCAAGCCTCAAATCTGAGGCACAGGTCATTACAATATCCTACCATTTTTTCGTTAAAACGAGAAAGGGGTTGAGTTGAGTTAGAACCCTAAATCCTTATACAGTTTCTAATACTTCAAATTTGTTTATAATCATTTAATCAACTGAACTATAATCGGTTCGTTCGATAAAATATGTATAATATTTAATATTCGAGTTTTTATTTTTCTCTCTTTTTTCAGATGCTTAACAAAGAAGCTGAGAGTTGCACCTGTGGAAACAAAGAATGCTTATAACATTTGGAATATTGAGAGTTGGAATGAATGGTACCTCAAATTTTGCCCTTTTTATTTGTTTGTACATAAAGGAAGTAGGTCTCTCAAATTTTAATTGGAATCATAAGCTTAATTTTTTTTTTTAAATGTAAAATAATTTTAACTCTCGTTATTCTCATTCAATTATTGATCGTCTTTTCGAGAATGTTTAGCTCATAGGTCTAGTTTATGAAGGCGTTCAATCAAGTTTGAAAACTCGAACTTGTAAAATCAGTGTTGGAATGTTACCGACATACTTTTTCTTATTTTTAATTATTTATTTTTGTTGTTTTATCATTCTGATGATAAGCGAATTTATCTTTGTCTCTCTTATAATTATTTACAATTATTTACACTTTGTCTTTCTTTAACTTTTTTCTTTTAATTTTAATTCATGTTCGGCGTTAGTTGTTTGAAGAGAATGTTTTGATCAAAAGGGAATGCAAAAGAACGTATTTGTTTTGCCCGTTAATGATATAAGTTTTTATTTTTTAAAATAAAATTCAATACTTTCTTAATTTTTTTTATTTGAAAAATGAAGAGTTTCATAGAAAAAAAATACCCTTAGGAGAAATTATTTAATATCTTTTTATTTTAAAAATAAAAATAAAAATAAAAATACATATTTAATATTATTTATCAATATATAAAAAATTAAGATTGTTAATTCTCGTGAGCAAGATTGAAAATGACATCACTTATATTTTTTAATTCCGTTAAATCAATCGTACCGTCAATTTCTATCTTATTATTCTCGACATTTTTAAATAAATTTAAAATTTAAGAGAAAAAAAATTACTAAAATAATTGAAAATTGTCCAATATTTTATACATATACATACATATATATACACATACATACACACACATACATACATACATATACACATACATACATATATATATATAATCTGAAAGAGATGGTGGAGGGAAGGCACTACCACTAGCGCTACATGCGCAGTTTGTCTCTCTGCCAGCTCTGCTTCTTCAACCTCCGCCATTCCATTCCATTATTGCTCTTCTTTTTCTCTCTCTAAAAGCTTGCTGTCACATCTTCCCAACTCCATCCTCTTCCTTCCTTCCTTCCTTCCACTATTTCGATAATCGAACCCCCAAATCCCTAGAAGAAATCAGGAGAAACAGAGAGGGACAAACGCGCACAATTGAAGCCTAGGCAATGTCGTCGTCGGACGATGAAGGAGGTGAGGAGTATCTCTTCAAGATCGTCATCATTGGAGACTCGGCGGTTGGTAAATCCAATTTGTTGTCTCGTTATGCTAGAAACGAGTTCAATCTCCATTCCAAGGCCACCATCGGCGTTGAATTCCAGACTCAGGTTATGGATATTGACGGCAAAGAGGTTAAGGCTCAGATTTGGGATACTGCCGGCCAGGAACGGTTTCGCGCCGTCACCTCTGCCTATTACCGCGGCGCCGTCGGTGCTCTCATCGTTTACGATATTAGCCGCCGTTCCACTTTCGATAGTGTTGGCCGATGGCTCGACGAGCTCAAGAGTGAGTGCCTGACTCAGACTTACCTTTTTCTTTTGATGTTGTTCTTGCTCTGCCATTTTAGTTGAGATGTATAGATCTGAACTCTTCTCTTTTTCGAATTTTGTTGGGAGTGATTTCATTTCCTGTTCGCTGCGGTATTTTATTCTAAATTGACCTAGGCTCGCAACATCCTCTAAAAGATTTTGTTCAATTACTTGAACTAACTCCATCATATGAAAGAGATTGCAGGTCTTGATTCTTGAACTTTGAAATTATCCAGATCTAGTCCTGTATCGTATTTTCTCTGTAGAATTTCTGCCGAATTTGTAATGAATTTCTATTAGTCGAATTTAGCTTGTTCATTCCCCCTGAAAATTACACTTATTAACATCCATTTCGATATTGCTCTCAAAACTGTAATCGGAAATATCTATCTTTCATTCTCGGACTTCATATTACTCTCACATTTTCAAGCTTTGATTCTCTCGAGTTTCAAATGTTGGTGTCGGCAACTCACAATTCAATGCCAAAAAACTACTTCTTAGCATAGCTGATTAAAATCAATATGTAGAACTTACCAACTCATGTTTCACCTGTTTGGCTTTTCAGATGGATCAATGAATCTGTACTGTGTCACTTGAGATCTTATAAAACTTCTGGTTTAGACGTCCTTTGAGTAATTGCTCATAATTTAGATGTTTCCATTCCTATATGACTGATTATATTAAAAATTTCAGTTGCTTTGAGTATGCCATTTTGATCGAAAGTTCAGTTCCTTTCATGGAAATGAAATTACTCAATGCTGCTAATGATGCTATCCCCTCATAGCCTCACCTTGTAATTGAAAATATGTTGGTTTAAATCATTTTTTGAACCCTAAACTCTTGACACTTTCTTTCTTGGGTCCTTGTACTTTTGAAATATTTGGTTTCCTCCCTAAACTCTTGACACTTTCTATTATATTTAACATAAATCTTGGTTTATGCTATGGGTGGATAGTTGTTGATGCAGACCTTGGGTAGATATGAATTTGATGCAAATTTTCATCCGAGAATCAAATTTACTGTTTCCCGTTGTGGTGAAGCGAGTTTGTAGTATCATGAAAATAACATCTCGCGAGTTTGTAGTATCATGAAAATAACATCTCGTGATAAGAGAGATGGGTCGAACCATCAACTTTTAGGATGGTAATTGGTATCTTAATTCTTGTAGTTGACCCGATTGTGATATAGTGGGCACAAAGTTACCAGTTTGATAAGTTGGGATCAGCTACTACATGCTTTAATATGTCTGTTCCACTGTATATTCCTTAGAGTTGTTGTTCTTTCCCATTTTTAATGATGAATTTATGCTACCAAGTTGCTTAAATGATCAGTGTTTTGATTCAAATCATTTTGCAGCTCATTCCGATACCACAGTGGCCAGGATGCTAGTTGGAAACAAATGCGACTTGGAGAACATTAGGGACGTGACTGTCGAGGAAGGCACGAGTCTTGCAGAAGCCGAAGGGTTCTTCTTCATGGAAACGTCTGCTTTAGACTCGACGAATGTTAAAAAGGCTTTCGAGATCGTGATCCGAGAAATATACAACAATGTGAGCAGGAAGGTCCTGAACTCAGATACCTACAAAGCAGAATTATCGGTCAACCGGGTGAGCCTCGTCAAGGACGGTGGATTGAAGCAATCAGAAAGCTATTTGTCTTGCTGTTCCAGGTGATCTTCATCTCTTCACGTTGGGTTCTGCTTAGTTTCTTCTGTCTTGTTTTGCTGGTGTGGTGATTCAAATTGGTTGTTTTTCTATGTTTGTTTCCTTATTATAGCTTCTCAAAAAGCTCCTCCAATGCAATGTTAGACCGACCATTTCCATATATAGAAATGAAATGATTTATTTGAATTTAATTAAGACAAGAAGAAACATTTTTGTATTAATTATTATTATTTGAAGCAAATATGAACAGATCATTAAGTTTGTAAAGTTGGTTGTAATGAGAGATCCTTGGATGAATCGTGATCAATAGGATCTTCCATGTTCGGAAGTTCTAATTATTGCTTAAACAATTATTATTTTTTAAAAGTGAATTTAATTATGAAAATGGTTATTTTTATTAGTCGAGCGGAATCATAAATCAAAATGGTTGTTTTTTTTTAATTAGTTGACGGTTCTGTAGCACTCCGTAAACGAGTGCATAAATGAATTAAAACCATATTCGATTGAGAGTGATCTCGACAATAAAATTACTAAGAAAAACTTAAAATAATGGAAAGTTACTATCTATATTAACAAGGTATAACTTCTTTTTTTGATTGTTCAGGCATAGGAACATTATGATTAAAGGTATTTTTCTTGTAACAATTTTATATCCGGTGATCTCTTAAAAGTTGAACTAATAATAATGTTCTTTTACATAAAATCATGTACGTTTATTGAATAATTTTAAAGGATCAATAGTCTTTTTTTTTCTAAACTTTAATATATAGATTAGATTAATATACTTTAATGTATAGATGAGATTAATTTAAAAGATATATTTTGAATAATATGTATTTCCAGAGTTTTTTTTTTTTTTTTTTTTTAAATAAGTTTTCGAAAAGATGTAACAATTTAGTATGATGATGCATTTTGTCTATTTTCTATAATCTATGAACTATTTTGACTCTCAAATAATAAACAAAAACTATTTCAAGTAACTAAGTTGAACGCAACTCTATTGTGTTTTTTACATGGATGGAACAAAAAAAAAAAAACCAAAGAAAAAGACGAAATTAAAAAATTGAACAGAATAAAAACAAAATAATTAAGAACATAAACTTTGACTTGAATGATAACCATTCTGGGTTTTCTAGAAGCTCTTCCTTTTCTTAAAAAATGTAATTATCTTCCTTTTCAGCTACCACTTTGATATTTTGTTTCTTGTTTTTGGGTTTTGGTTTTCCAATCACTGAGATCTCCAATACTTCGCCATTTCAAAGCCATTTTTGGCATAGCGGTAGTCCTCAAATGCTTGTGCAATTTCAGATTGCGAGTTCATCACAAACGGTCCATATTGAACAATTGGTTCATTCAGAGGCTTCCCTGCAATCAGAACAAACCTCAATGGCTTTGAAGATTTGTTCCACACACTTACCCCATTTCCACCTCCCAATACTAGGACATGGTGAGCAGCCACCGGGGATGAACTTGGGGACCCGAACACTCCTTCACCGTCGATTATGTACACAAAAGAGGTCCACGTGTCCGGGATGCTTTGATGCACTTGAGCTCTTGGTTTCAAAATGAAGTCGAGGTACATAGTTGGCGTTTGAGTGTAGATTGGAGAACGGACTCCCATGGACTCGCCTGCTATGACACGAACTTCCACACCGTCTTTCTCCGCTCTCGGAATGTTGTCGCTTGGGATCTCCTGATACCTTGGCTTCATCCTAATGACATTCATTAATTTAACAGACATTGAATAAAATTTCGAATCTACATTCTACCAATACAATGAAGGAAAAAGAGTTACATTTTGTCACGGGATGCAAGATTGATCCAAAGCTGCAAGCCCTTTTGAGAACCTGCACCAGCAGGCATTTCAGAATGGACTATACCTCGTCCCGCTGTCATCCACTGTGCCCCAAAATCAAATCTCAATATGTTATTTAATTTATTTATTGCGTCATTTAACTTCTTTTTGAAATTGTTTATTTACCTGGACATCCCCTGTTCTAATCGTACCCTTGTGGCCAGCAAAATCTTGATGGGTAATCCCTCCCTAAAATAATCCACAAACAAAGAAGCATATAAAAATAATTGACAATTTATCCCCAGTCTGCAGTTTATTCCTTTCATCACAGAAATTAGAGAATTTACTTGTAACATATACGTCACTGTCTCAAAACCTGAAAGAAAAAGAAATTTGACATCAGAATTTGAAGAAAAAAAACATTATAACAGCAACACTCGCAAAAATATGAAATATAAACAGCATATGATGTTCATCATTTCTCTGAATAATTTTACAATTTACGAGTACTGCTTCTTCTAACCTCTATTAGCATATTATTTAATTAAACAGAATCACAAATTAAAACGAAGTATCCAACAAATTAGAAAAGTTGAATCCGTAGAACAGTTCCGTTGTTGAAGAACGAAAATTCAATTTTAAGGAACGAACCTCTGTGAGGATGATCGGGGAATCCAGCCGGTGGACTGACTGCAATGAATGAAACAATTGGAAAAAATTCAATTCGTAGATAGAAAAATAAGAAGAAACTGAAAAAACGAAATCAGAAGAAGCAAAACAACAATCGGATTGTGATTCTGTTACCAGAGAAATCATCGAGCATGAGAAATGGATCCAGATTCTTCAAATCATTCCTAAATCAGAGATCAGAAGATAAAATCAGCGGCGGCGGAGGCGGCGGAGAAGAAGAGCAGAAGATACAGAGAAAAAGAACAAGAAAACGAAGAAGAAGAAGAAAGAGACCTTCCAATGCCTCGACGAACGACGGCGCCGTCGCCTTCGTTCTGGAGTTTAGCAAGAATCTTCTTGATGACGGAGCGAGGTCTGTCGAAGGCGGACGGAGAATGACTGGAACTGGACATAGTGGATGAACTAATGGCGGAGGAAGCGGCGGCGGGGAAGAAGAATCTGGGAGAAATAATGGCGGGAGTCTGAAAATGGAAGGAACTGAAAAAGGAAATCGATGAACTGAATTGGGATTATGATAGAGAATTGAAATTTATATATATACTGAAATGAAAAGGGTAATTTGGGGATTTGGGTTTGAAATCGTTGGAAAATTCAGAGTTGGATTTCTCTCTTTTTTTTAGACTTTTTATTTATTTGGTTGAATATGACGTCATCGATGAATCATCATGATGAAGAGCATTTCTCTAATTTTTTTATAATTATTTTAACCCTTATATTTCAAATTTTATTCTATTTAATATTTTTTATTTCAATTTGGTTATTTTTTTCCTTTTATTTTCAAAATTATTTCTCAAATTTTGTTTTTACACTACATTTAAATATTTTAAACTAAATTTAAATATTTTAAACATAAATAAGGTAGGAGACAAGATTATATTCTCTGTCCTTGTCTACCTAATTATCAGAGACAATATTATATTTCTGTGTCTGTCAAATTATTCCTTTAATATAAATAAATAAATAAATAAAAATATATATATTAAAAATAAATTAGTTAGTTTTGAATAATAAATTTTTGTAATTGTTAATTTTTTTTTAAAAAAAAATATGTTGGTAGAAATAATTAAAAACATTAAATGCAATTCCTAGTAAGTCGGGTTTGGGCCAGGATTTGGGCTATTTAACTGGGCTTGTCTCTTATCCATTCAGTTCATAAAAGCCCATAAAAAAAGCTCCTCAATTTGTTCTTCAGCCTATAATTAGGGCATTCCATTCAACCTCTAAAACCCTAGAAACCATGGGGGGTTTGGGAAATTCAGACAAGGCTTCTGAAGCTTCTCTTCGAAACCCTAGAAAGAAGCGCAAACAGCGGCCTCCTAACAAGCTCCGCACCAAGCCTAAGAGCACCAAGAAGAGGAAGTCCGATCCCACCCTTAATACCGATGCGCAAAATCCCATAAATGGTAGTGAAAGCAGTGCATTGGAGGCGCTTCCATTGGAGCCCTTCTCCTTTTTTTTGGATGAGTTCCAGACGGCTAATGACGTTCAAGTCTCTTCGCTGGAGCTTGACTCCATGAAAGGTACTTTACTAATTTGGAGCATTACTCCTTTTTTCGCGCGCGCGCGCGTGTTTGTGGTAGAAGTCTTTCTTGGTCTTATCTGTATTTGCCAGAAGAGTTTTGAAGTTGTGAATTTGGTGTGCTGATGGTGATTATTGTTAAAAGAAATATAGTTTAATGGGTCTACACATTAGTTAAGTGGAAAAGAATGTAAAATCTTTTGGAGTGTTTAATTGCTGTTGGTGTTCTAATTGCGTGAGAATTTGTCTTTTTTCTGTATTGCGTGAGAATTTGTTTGTTCTTTATAATGATTGGAGAATTTTTTAGGTAGATGCATGCTGGGTCCTCCACAAAGTTCAATTCAGGATGAAAAAACCTTGGTTAAACATATTAAGGAAGCTTTTGGATCATCGTGGAAAGAAGTTCTTTGTAAAGGGAAACTCTTGGAGGGAGAGACTGCTCCGGGCAGTCCTGCTGTTCTTATAATCAGCACATCTGCAATTAGGGCGATTGAACTTTTAAAGTAAGATGGAGACTGCTTTTCTGCTGGTATTGAAATATATGGAATTAAGTGTCAGATTTTGTATAACTCGTTGATTTACATTCATCAGGGGTTTTCGGTCGCTAACTCAAGAATGCCATGCTGTTAAGCTTTTCTCGAAGCACATGAAAATTGAGGAACAGGTTATAAGATTCTTTCTATGCCCTTTTTTTTCTTTTAGGTGATTCAGATATAGGAGTAACACATGGTTGCTATTTATTTCATTTTGTATTAATGTTTAAAGTTGTATGGTCCCCTTTATGTAATGCATGCTTGCCGTATATCAAAACTATACATAGTGGGTTGATAATTGTTAACATATTGGTAGATGGAACAAATGGGAAAAACTCCTTAAAATGTATTTACTTTATTGGGTTTGGGAAATGATGACAAGCAAGAAAAATATTTCTGAGGTTGTTGCTATGTTGATCTTGTTATTTGCACGTCAGTCTGATCCATTTTCTCAATGATTGATTACCATTCCCTTCCAAACTCTTAGCACAAACTTTTACCGGTTCCGAAGCTTTAATTTTTTTTTTCTTCTATTCTTTTGATTTTCTACGTCTAAATTAGTGCTTTTGTAAATTCTGAGATGTGCTATGGTGCAATGACCTTCTAGGCTTTTACATTTTTCTACCCTTCCAAACTGTCATGCTTGTTTTTTTTTTTTTTTTATAAAAAAAATTTAAACCCAAAATGGCTTATTTTGGTTTAATAATTAATTATTGTATAAAATTATAGTCTAAGCCTCCTGTTTAGGTTCACAGTTTTTTTTTTTAGTAAAAAAACAAAATGAGAGCTTGTTTAGTGCGCATCTGTGTTTCAGGCTGTGCCTTGCTTCTGTGAGGTGAGGTGCCACAGTTGAGCCTTTGATCTAGGCGTGCACCTGGGTGTGACTTTCAAAACACATGTCCAATTTATTGACAGTTATGTTATTTATATGAAATGTTCAGCTCAACTCTCAATATAACATCAGTTGGCTGTGTTGGCTACAATTTTATTTTCTTATTTTTGAAGTTTGGGAAATGAAGACAAACCAAAATGTTCAACAGAGGTAGATACTGTGCTGAACCCTATTGCACGTCAGTCTGATCCCTAATTTTTTATTGGGTGTAATCCATGCACTTATATTTAATGAGAAGTATTTCTTTTGTACAAGTTTTTTGTACTTATGTTATGTCATGATTTGGTTCACTCTCAAATCCTCATTTCTGCTGTACTGTTATTGTTTTTCCCTTTATGGTGGGTGCAGGTAGAACTGTTGAAGAACCGTGTTAACATAGCGAGTGGTACACCAAGCAGGTTAGCTTTCAATATTGGATATATCACCATTGGTTCAAGAGTTCCAGTTCTAGGTTCTCATTTCTGTTAAAAGGGTGCCGGTGTATTGTCAGAGTAATAAATGTTGAATGTCTCCAACCTTCTTCCTGGATTTACCACCGATTGCATTGATATACAGAGTTCATCATTTTCTTTCCATTCATTCTAAATTTTTTTAAGTGTGCAACTGATTTTTTCTTTGTCACGTTTTCTTCTGTTCAATTTTAGGATTAAAAAACTGATTGATATTGAGGCCTTGGGGCTTTCAAGATTAGCAGTTATCGTGTTCGACATTCAACCGGATGTTAAGGGCTATTCTTTATTTTCGCTTCCACAAGTCAGGTTTGAACATCGTTTATTTGCTCAATCTCACCTAGTATTATTTCATATCTTTTGTTCCATGCCTTTGGATTATGAAAATGCAATTTCATAGATTTTTTTGGTTAAATACGAAGAAAACTCAAGTTGTGAAACTCCGAAAACCCCATAATCTATCTCTTGACATATCTTACTAAAACAATTCATATTGCAGGGATGAATTCTGGGATTTATACAAGAGCTACTTACACCAGCGAGTCGTCGAGGGTGGGCTGCGAATTTGCCTCTTTGGACCTTTACAACCATCTCGTAAGCGAAGGAAAAAAGAAGTTACCAGTCCAGGCAAATAAGGTACCAACTAAGTCCGAGTTCTTTTTAGAGTTAGACTTGGTTGGACCATCCCTATTGTTAATGTATCCCTTGAGTTAACGAATTCCAACAAATTAATTTCTCATCATCATTTTTCCCCTCCATTGCAATATGGCCATTTTGGTTGGGTTGTACCAAATTTTGCAACATCAGCGTAGAGTCCTATTGTTGTAGTTTTGCTTGTAGTTCCAAAATATAAATGGAAAATGGTCTTGCTTTTCTTGAACTCAGCTATGTGAAATATTAGATGGAAGCTGTTCTATACATTCTTTAATCTTCCATTTTTCAGGATTGTGGACTATTACATCATTCATATAATTGTCTTAGTGCTGGAAATAGATGTCTGTCGATCCAATAAATAATCTACTCTTATCAGAAGTATTTGAAAAGTTCACTTTTTAGTCCATTAGTTATGAACATTAAGTGTGTTAGTCCTTGGTGATTCACCACCAATAGGAACTATTAGAAACAAACAGAAAGCTGACTGGACTTTTAACTGCTTATGTGGCTTGCTGAGAGAGAAAAAAAATTGTCCAAGTGAACTTTCTTTCTCACTTGCTCCTTCAACCACATGAGGTGTCCATCCAATTGACTTTCACGAGCAAAGGCATGTGACGAAAAGGACCCAACCCACACTGTGATGACCCCTGCTTCACTTGCGATGATACATTTCCAATTGTTGTTTGTGACCTTGGGGGATCGAGCGGACAACTTGCTGCACATGATTTCAGGCAAGTTTCGACACATGCACACCAAAAAAATGTTGGTTGTTTGTTCAAACACCATCGTTAGAATATATTGTCATAGATGGAAGAAGTAGCAGTGTTGTGCAGCATCAGGGGTGGAACAAGTAGTGCTGTTGTGCAGCAATAGGGGTCCATACCCGCTGTTGTGCAGCGTTAGGGGTGCCATGGTATGGACGATTTCATTTGGGACGTGACCTTCCTTATTGAAGAAGCAGATTGAGGTTGATTGGGATTGAGTTTTTGGTGGCTCATGTGTGAAACGGAGGGGAAAGGACATCTTTTTCCCACTTGGCAAGCCACGTAAATATCTAGGTTGACAACATAATGGAATGGTGTTAGAGGTCCTTCGGTCAAATATATTCTTGTGATGCACGTGTCGATCGTTGGTTCTGTTAAAATCGTCTAGGTTTGTGTTTTTTGTGACTAGTGCTTACGATTCGTTGTGTCCTAAGACCCAACATCACCTAACAATCCCTTATGATGTGGCTAGCTGTTTGGGATATGTTGTCTCTATTGTTGGAATAGCCTAGTCCCGAAGTTTGTAGGCTTATTGCGATCACTTGTATTTTGAATGCCTCTGTAGTAGGCCTATCTAGGGGCACATTCTCGCTTGGCATCTTTCCATCAATTTTCTTTTGAGACCGTAAATTTGGTTCCACATGTCTCACCTAAATGTTGGGTGACAAATGGCTGTATTATTTGGTACGGAATAGTTATGACTAAGAGTGTAACCTTTGAGTTTATGACTTGTCTGTGGCCTCCTTAAATTGTTCTTTAGGCCACATGGTTTGAGGATCTTTTGATGCGGGTTTTCGGGTCCCTTTAGGATCTGATCTTATGAGGTCGGGTCATTATTTCTTTACTTGGGGCTTACTTGCATTGCTAGTTCTTGTCGTATATGACGGTTATTTGGTATTTTTATGTTTTTTTAGCGATCACAATTGACATGTGCACAAATATATATATTTATGTCTTGATGTGGTGATTATTCCTTCACTAAGAGTAAGTAAACCTTTCCTCGGCTGCTACGGTGAAAGTTCTTGTTCCTAATGTCCTGATGTGATTGACTATTCCTTCAAGATAGTTCTACCCATAAGAAGTGTGGAATTTTTGGTGTGTGTGCGACACATAGTGAGTGAGACAAAAGAGCGTTAAAAATGCAAAGAAAGAAGCTCATGCTTCAATCTATTAGATTTGCCCTCTGCTGCATATACCTCATTATCAAAACTAGATGAAACGAATACAATGTGATTGGATGGCAATGCTCTGAAAGCTAAACATGGTTTGAAGCCAATAACGTCATGATTCATTGAGGTTGATTCTAAAGTTACGGTTTTTAGTTCATTTCTTGGCTCGTAATGGTTGGAATGATTGCGAGAAACTCCTCCAAACTTCTCACAGACGAACCCTTTTCGTTATAATCCTTATAATCCTTGACCGCGGCCTCATCTTGTCCGTAACAATGGCGGCCTTCTTCCTCATCTCTTCCCCTTTCCCACCTTCCCCCATCACCGTTTCTATCATCTCCTTCACCTTCCCTCTCTGAATCTCTCTCTCTCTTCCCCTTGTCAGCTCCACTCCAACCCCCATCTCCTCCACCATCATCTTCGAGTTGTACGCCTGTTCTGCCGCCATTGGCCACCCTATCATCGGCACCCCCTGGCTCAGGCTCTCCACCATTGAATTCCATCCACAGTGGCTCAAAAACGCCCCCACCGCTTCATGCGACAAAATATCCAACTGGGGTGCCCAATTTCTGATCAACAATCCTCCATTCCTCTCCATTTGTTCCTCGAATCGCTCCGGCAGCCATTCATCAGCTCTGAACTCTGCTTTCATGTCGTGCCCCAATGGCGGCCTCACCATCCATATGAACGCCTTCCCACTTTCCTCCAATCCGTGCGCCAATTCTAGCATCTGGGTCTCTCGCTGATTGTGTTCTGAGATCCGAACGAGATGTACAAAACCGAATTTTTTGAATGGGAATTCAGCCAATTGATGCAATTTTCCAAATGTACGCCGGAATCTTTCTCTTTCCCCCACCTGCGGCTGGTGCTTTCAGGAAGAAGCGGTCCAATTGCCCGACGGGGATTTTTATGTAATCCCTCAAGAGCCTCAATCCGAATGATTCAACTTCTTCAACGGTGTTACAGAGCCATCCATCGGAGCTCAAAGCAGAGGAGAGTTGCGGCTGGAAAAATTTGGACCAGGAATCGGTGCCGTCGGCGGCGAGTACGAACCGGTTCAGTTGAGAGCGATGGAAACGGCAGCCTTCTGGGAATCCTGGGACAGAGAAATCATCCGCGGTGGTGGAGCGGTGGGGGAGATTCAACCAGAGAGAGATGTAGGCCAGAGTACCATAAGCACCGTAGGGTAGTGAAATTGAGAATCGGGACGTTAAAACTTCTCGCGACGGCAACCGACCAACCAAAGAACAAGTCAGAGATTATACACACCGGCGGCTTGCCTTCTTTTTTAATGATGTCGGTGATTAGTTGCCGGAGGGGGAGTTCGAGGGCGGTGGAGGAGTTTAACAGAGTGACGATTTGTTCTGGAGAGAGATTCTCGGGGTTCTCGGTGTTGGCTGGGAGGTTGTGGCCGGAGCTCGAGTAGTGGATCTCCGCCAGTTGGATTTTAACGGCGGCGGAGACAGTGGAGCGGATGTTTTGTATGTTAGAAGGAGTGCAGGCGATGGTGACGGTGAAAACAGAGGATCTACGATGGATTAATTTGGCGAGTTCGAGGAAGGGGATGAGATGGCCGTGAGCCATGAAAGGGAGCATAAGGATGTGGTTGTCGCCGGAGTTTGCTTCAGAGCCCATTTTTGCCGGCCGGAGGGACTCTGTTCGGAAGGAAGAAAAACAGAGATGTGAAGTTTATAAAGGAAGGGTATATTTATAGCTGATTGGTAACCGACTCGAGCAACTCGAATAGAGTTCATAATTCAATCCAACCTTCTATTTTTGAGTTGTCAGACTAAAAAAATATTATCAAACCCGTAAACTGAATTGAATTTTCGATATTTCAAAAAGTTCAAACTCAGTCCAAACCAAAAAGAATTTAATTCAATCCAATTTGATTAAGTTATTGATTGCTCGTGTTATTGGATCATATAGTTATCCCTATTTGTATCTACTTTCCTTCTCTTGCTCAATGTTCACCAACACAAGTCAAACCAATCAATCGTCATCCACCACTGGAGTCAATCCTGATCATCAAATTGAAGCTAAATAGGCATCGTCCACCGCCGGAGTTTTCATGGTCGAAGCAAAAAAAAAAAAAAAAAATGTTTACAACCAATAATATTCTCTCGAAAAGGTGAACCTTTTTGAGTTGTGCTAGTTGTTAGGGTTGTGTGTATGTATATTTAATATTTACGGTCTATCCATATACTCGGATTGTTTTGAACCATACTAGGTTTAATGTTTATAGTTGATAACTCTATGTATGTATGTTGGGGCCACCTTAATTAAAAAGGAGAACGAAACATTTCTTAAAAAACTCATTTTAAAATTGTGAGGTTGACGATCATACGTAATAAGCTAAAGTGAACAATATGTGCGAGTTAGTAAATATACAAAGAGATAAAATCATCTCCATTAAAATGGAAGAATTATAAATTTCCAAAATAATAGATAGAATTACCGCAAATAGACCCATCACGATATCCATGTAAGGCGCAGTTCCCCATCCAAGAGTCACTTCACCATATTCTGAATTCAATGGTTTCAATAAATCTCGTACAATAATTCGTCTTGACCCAGAGACCCATATCTAGAACTATCCTCAATCGTTGGCCCAGTCTAGACTAACGCCGTACATAATATAGTTACATATGTTAAATTATTGATCCATTACCATTTTGATAGGGTTTTAATTATTTTATTATTTATTTATAAAATTTGTATAGAAGAACCTTTTCAATATAGCTAACTAAAACTACAAAAAGGTCATTAAGTTTCTTCAATTATGGTCGATAATGCAAGTTTCAAATAATAAGACAACTAAGTACGTTAATAAATAATTTAAAAGTTGGAAATCTGAATTATTACACGAGGTGTTACGTGTAGAGTCGTACTTCTTCAAGTACGCTCACAACAAGCCCTAAAGGAAAACTCAACACAAAGTCGAGCGAAAAATATGAATTGGGTTAGAGTTCCCTTTTAAGGCTTGTCCCTACGTTCTCCACCAAACTCTTTTCATTTCTATCTCCAAATCTCTGGCATAGAACGACCCAATCCATTCGGGTTTTCGGCCATCATTCTCTTCCTTTCTCAAAAGCCAAATTTTATTAGGACTTATTAATATTAGTTATTGAATATCTTACCAAATTTGGTTCCGCCCTCGATTATTTGGCTACTAATCTTATGAACCATTTGGGTCCTTTTGTTCCTAAAACTAAACGAGGGAGAGCAGATCGAAAATTGGTTTGGGTCGGTTTGGTTCATTTGTTTCATCCGCGGTCGCTGTCGACGTGCTCCGCGGTCGCTGACACTTGACACAAGCCTTTTGTTTTGG